CTAGAAAGTTAAGTGCTGGGTAAATGATTCCTGTGTCTGCGTGGGCTGGGGCTGTGAGAGCAGGTGAGAAACCCTTGATGTGTTTGTCCTTACTTTTCTCCGAGAGATGCAGGAAAATAAGGGAAGGGAAAACGTCTGTGTCTGGCCATGTGCCCCCACTCGAGATCAGGACTGTGAGAGCAGGGGAGCCCCATATCTTAAGGGTGAAATTAATAAAAAAAGAGGGTGAAATTCATTAAAAAAATCGGGTAAATGAATCTTGGTGGGATGACAAGGAAAAGCAAAGCTATTGAGAGCCCCTAAACAGCCTCTGCTCCTTGAAGTCCCTTTAGAAGTGAAGGAGTGAAGCTGCACCTGGTTGAGACCTGCTGGATATTTTATATCTGTGGATTTGGGAGGGCTAATAAATTCTTTTTTTATTTAGCCTCTTATAGTTCTCCCTTCAGTCTGATGTTCAGGTACCTCATGTTCCTTCTGGATGAACCATGAAAGATAAGCATGAAGGTTTAAAGCTTTAGAGGTAGCAAGAGGCAGTGAGTGGGATTGGGCCCGTTTTCCCATCTTCCTTGGGGCGTGACTGCCAACTTAATGTAAGGAATGTAAATAAGTTTAATACTTTCAGCTACCTTTTTTTTTTTCTTGCCTTTTTTTTTTCTGTCAGGACCTAAAAAAACCTTCATTTTACGGGCAGAATTCCTTTGTTAAAAAAATCAGTCACTTGAATTTGGAGCTGAATCAGTCCTTTGTGGGGGTCTTGCTTGCAGAATTTCAGAGAGGGAAAAAAAAACACGTGGCCATTCTCTGGTGGTTGGTTCTGTTTTCCAGGTATCTCCCCAAGGAAATTTGACAGCCCATGGTGAGGGTTTTGCTGTCTGATCAGCAGAAAAAGCATGTGATTATACACGGAGATCTGCTGGTGTAGAGGATATTCTGCTCCACCAGCAGCAGAGTTTGCCTGCAGCAAAGCTGTTGGTCCATGGTCCGTGTTCTCAGGGAAAGTATTTGCCATCTTTATTTTCTCCTGCACCCCCCAGTCGTTCTGCGTGTCTCTGTTTCGTTTTAATCCTTGTTACTTTTGCAGTTGATTGTATTTCACAAGGAAAAAGAGGGGCAAACAAATTGAATTATAGGGAGCCAGAGGAGCGCAGGAGGATAAGAGGCTCTTCCAGCAGTGTGGGGGGGATGAAGTGGTGGAGAATATCCACTCATTAATGAAATGATGATGATTCTAAAACATCTGATTTACTTAACTACTTTGTAAATTGATCTTTAAACAGGGTAAGTTTATTAAAATGTTTCAAAAAGAGAAAGTAACTGAAGCCCTCCTGGAGTAACAGTTTGAAAAAGTGTTGCTGTAGTTACTCATTAAAAAGTCGTAGATAGTTGGCAATGTTGGAACATGTTCAGTAATTCCACGTTTTGCAATATTTGTTTGGGGGTTTTAATGGAAAATTCCAAGTTCCTGCGGTTGTTTTAAATGCATAAAAGCCACTCCAGGTGTCTTAAATACATAAAAGCATTATTTCTAGATCTCATGGTTGGGTATAAAAGCATGGGAAAATGGGAATTGGAGTCTCAAATCAGGTAGAGCAATAAAAAGTGTGTCTGATGCAATATATGCTGAGTATGTAAATATAAGCAAGGCAGTTTGGACACCTGTATATGACATTAGTGAGACCAGCAGGGACATACTCTGATTTTGGTGTTCTTATCTTTTTAGCATTGAGAAATTACCCAGAAGTTCCCTGAAGGGGTTGGAGGGCTGGAAGAATACTTTGCATGGACAGACAGACAGATCATTTATGTTAGTTCAGGGGTTTTTTTTTCCAAATTTTCCAATAATTGCGTTAAACGCAGGAGAAGGGCCTGACTTTGACAGTGGGTTTGTTGCTCTTAGATGACTTTCTGAACGAGATTCTGAGACACAAGTTAGAAATCATTGAATATCTTACTTTTAGGGCACAGGGTGGCCTTGTCCAGCAGCCTTTGCATGCCTGTGAATTGAAATTCCTGCACACGCACATCCCTGCTGCATCAAAGTGGGACAAATTGAGGCCAGAGCACTTTCCCCCATCCAGCCACGTGCGACAGAAGGTCACCCAGTGCTCGTGCATCTGAGAACACTGCAGTTCATTAGCTGTAATTCACTAAAGGATACTTGGGATTCACTAAATGATTATGTGTAATTCACTAAAGGAGATTAATTTGGCCTGGGAACCCAGATCCAGAAGCTGAGCCCTGGCACTTTTCAGACAAATTAGGAATCACACCCAGATTTCACAGGGAATCACTGGCCATGGCCACCAACTGCTGCAGGAGGGTGGGGAGGCCCTGGCACAGCTTTCCCAGAGAAGCTGTGGCTGCCTCTGGATCCCTGGCAGTGTCCAAGGCCAGGTTAGACAGGGCTTGGAGCAACCTGGGGTAGTGGAAAGTGTCCCTGCCCATGGCAGGGGGTGGAACTGGATGAGCTTTAAGTTCCCATCAACCCAAACCATTCTGTAATTCCGTGCTTGTGTGAAATAAGTTCTGTGTTGCTGGACGTTTTTGAACCATCTGGAAGGTCTTGTTTCTGTCAGATGTGAGTTTTTTAGTTCACAGGGCTAGAAGGACAAAAGTTCTGGGTTTCTACATCTGTGACAAATGGGAGATTAAACTGAATAATACATGTTTTACTATTAAACCTTGAAGAGTCTGTAAAGTAGGAATTTTGAGTAGAGGTAATTCTGGATGGAGGCTCTGGCTCATTAAATTCTCCAGTTCAACCTAGTACTTGAACACATGAAACTTGATGTTGGCAGATAAATGATTCAGGAAATGGTGACATTAGAAATACAGGTAAGAAGTGCCCAAACCAGGTTTATCTCTAAGGAAAGGCGAGTTGGCATATCCAGTGAAAACCATCTCAAGGCCAGATGTTTAAAGAGATCTTCTGTTTGAAAATGAGCTGTCACAGGGCCTTGCAGGCTGTGATGAGTCAGTAAGTCAGTGTGACACTTCTCCCAAAGCTTGGAGGAAAAGATTGAGCAGCCCTGCCTCCCCCAGAGGCCAAAGCTAGAACACAGAACACAGCGTCTGCTTCCAAATGCTCCTTGTCAAGCTGGGAACGCCTCAGTCTGAGATGCCACTTCCAAATTGTAGTTGTTACAATTCCAGTCAGTTGCTGGTCCATTCCTGCACTGCCTGCCCTGCCCTTCTTGAGCTGAATAATTTGGGTACTTGTCTTCTCAAATTTAAAATGGCCTGAATGGTTCCAGTAATCAGTTGTCCAAAGGACAGCACATTCCCGTTGGAGCCAAGCACTTATATGGATGTGGTCCGTCTGTCTTCTCAGTCATTTTCTTGGATGGGAGTCATCCCCTTGCCTTGTCCTCCTGCTTCCTTTTCTCTTGGATGGGAGTCATCCCCTTGCCTTGTCCTCCTGTTTCCTTTTCCCACGAAACAATGAAAGGGGTTCAGTAGTCGATGGATGAGGCCAAAGGTGGGACCATCTCCTCATTTCCCTATTTCCCAGGCTGCAAAAGGCATTTTTGTGGATTTGTGCATCCTGGGTGTGTAGGACCATGTCTGTACAGTTACACTCCAACTCCAGCTCTACTTAGCAAGCCAGTTCTCAGTGTTCTTCAGCCCATGTTACAGATCTCTAGTCACTCCGTGTCTCCTGTTGGGAACTTCTTTGTGCCAGTACAAAAATGGACATGAGGAGTCATCTTCAAAATCCGTGGACAGGAATAGGCAGCCCTGTCCCTGGAAGGTCCCACAGCCATCATCCCTCTCTTGGTTTTCACGGGGTCCTTGGAATCCTTATTTGACTTTTCTGAGTGCTCACAGGGATGGTACATTAGCTCTGTCACGTCTCCTGGAGTTTGAGTGATCTCCTCACCCTGCTCTCCTGCAGGAATGGTAATAAACCCTTGACTCATAAGAAGATTCACGAGAAGGATGGAAAATGCCTTGTTCTCCTTGCCAAGTTCTGTCTGCCCTCCATCTGCCATCCCTTCTTCTCAAGATCTAGAGCTCTGAAGGAGGTGATCTTGTTGTTTGTGTGCCAGTTGGATCTGTAGTGAGGAGACTTGGGAAAGAAAAGAGATTGAGGGAGCATATTGTGATTTTTTTCTTTTCGGTTCCATGTCTGGGCTATGCAGCAAATCCATGTTCATTGTTCTGGCACCTTGGGAAGCTTAGGAGTTAAAAATGCTTTTGATGAGCCACCAGAATGATTGAGTTACATGAGAGGGCTGCCTTTGGAGGGGAAAAGGCTGAAGACTTATTTCTTTAAATGAAAGCTCAGGAGTAATTGGATGTGCTGCACTTTCCTTGTCAGGGCAGGCGATCCGTGACAGCGTTCCAGGTTCAAAAGTTCCCAACTTCAGAAATCCACCTTCAGAAACGGGACTTCAGTCAAATCAACTTAGGTCCTACAGGCCACTAGAATTTCCGTTAGGTGTGTTTTTATCTTCTTTTCTTTTTTTTTTTTTTTCAAGGTTGCAGCAAAAGTTAGGGCAACTTGAACTCTTTGTAGTTAAGATTTGAAAGAGTCGAGACTGATAAATCTCACGTCACAGCCCGTTAAAACTTCTGCGGAAAAACTCAACCGCTGGCCTTGACCGAACAGTTTTGGAATGTGGGATTTCTACCTGGTGGGTAAATGGGGGCAAGATTTTGTGTGAAATCAATTGCAGCCTTAATAACTGAGCAACCACTGTCTCTGTAGCAGCAGTTTGTCCAAAGCAAAAGGGTACAAACTGCAGGTGTAGGGGATGCCAGGAGAAGAGGGAAATGCTGTTGGAGCACTCCAAAGAAAATAAGCCCTTTGTGAGCCTGGCATTTTTGGGAGGTTGCCTGCTGAGGTGGTTTGGAGGTGCACTTTTGTGCTGCCAGTTCTGTCGTGTGTGTGTGTCTTAAAGTTTTGGACCAGGATTGATCTTTGAGGCGTGTAAAGTACTTCCCGTGTGCCACAGTTGACCTGAAGCATTTGGTTTCCTGTTTTCCCTCGTTTTCAGCCTGCTGGAAACCATGTCTCACTACACGGACGAGCCAAGATTTACCATAGAGCAGATAGACCTTCTGCAGCGCCTGAGACGCACGGGAATGACCAGGCATGAGATCCTCCACGCTCTGGAAACCTTGGATCGCCTCGACCAAGAGCATAGCGACAAATTCGGGAGAAGGTCTGGCTACGGGGGCGGTTCCTACGGCAACAGCACCAACAACGTGCCGGCCTCCTCCTCCACGGCCACAGCCTCCACGCAGACCCAGCACTGTGGGATGTCCCCCTCGCCCAGCAACAGTTACGACACCTCCCCGCAGCCTTGCACTACTAATCAGAACGGGAGGGAGAGTAACGACAGGTTGTCCGCCTTCAACGGGAAGATGTCGCCCACCCGGTACCCCCTGGCCAACAGCCTGGCCCAGAGGTCCTACAGCTTCGAGGCCTCCGAGGAGGACCTGGACATCGACGACAAGGTGGAGGAGCTGATGAGGTTAGTGGAGGTCTTGTCGCTTGGATCTGTAGCGGGGAGACTTAGGAGAGAAAAGAGGTTAAGGGAGCGCGCTGGGATTTTTTTTCGGTTCCGTTTCTGGGCTTTGGAGCAAATCCGTGTTCGTTGTTCTGACACCTTGGGAAGTTCGGGAGTTAAAAATGCTTTTGATGAGCCACCAGGAAGTTTGGAAGGGCAGAGTGAGAAGTGCCTCAGAGGAGGTGTGTGTGTTGGAGGAGCGCTGTGGTAGCCACAGAGGGTGGGAAAACACTGGCCCAGGTTGCCCAGAGAGGTGGTGGATGCCCCATCGCTCCAAACATTCGAGGTCGGGTTGGTCTGAACTCTCAGCAACCTGATTTAACTGAAGATATCTCTGTTTATTGCAGGCCTTTAAAGGTCTCTTCCAGCCCAAACCATTCCATTGGGATTCAGTGATTATCAGGAGAGCAGGAGCTGCTTCAGAGCTGTTCCCTGCCAGTTCCCCAAGGGTCACTATCCCAGAACCTCTCATCTGCCTCTCAGCCTTGTGCAGGCAGCCCCTGGCCCTGTGGGTATCCCACAGTCTTGCTATTGGAATATTTTTGCCCATGCTGTGCCAAAATTGGGATTGCACCAATTTTCCACCTTGCTTTTATTTAGAAGAATTCTGACTGAGTGTCAACTCCCATGACTCCTCCTCTACTGCTTCATACCCCTTGTAATTCCTTCCATATAGAGGGAGAGTAGGGAATCCTGCTTGGATTGGTCAGTGCTTTCCAGTGGGATCTGCAGAGGATGGATGTTTCCTGTTTGTAATTTGTGGCAGGGATTTGCAGAGGCTGCAGGGTGGTGTAGGGAAATGCAAACAGTAAAGAAGAAAAGAAGTTTTCAGTCAGAGCCAGTTGTTGGTTTTTTTCCCCAGCCTGACCTTCCTTTACTTCTGGCAGCTTCTTTTTCAGGCAGAGATGAAAGGAGGGGATTATACTCCTGAGGATGAAAGTCAGAGTCAGTGGGCTTTGAGAGCACAAAAAAAAAAATAAGAGGAAAGGCCAAATGTCTCAAAACAATTTTGGTCATAATGCTGGACTATCTTTCCCCCCCACCCCCAAATTGCAACATTCACAAAGTACCTGTGTGAGAATTGGGGTTTGTAAGCTCCAGGATGGAAATATGTTTGGAGATTTAGGGTAAAGGTATGGCTTTTGAAGGAGAAGATTAGAGATGAGCAGTGAGAAAAGCTGATCACCCTCATTCCCTGCTGGATGAGGGAAGGTACGTGCAGCAGAGAGCCAGGTTCCCATGGCTGAGGTTTAATCATCCCATTGAGTTTTGGGTTCCTATGCAATAAGTCTCAGGTAATGCTTTTAGTGCTTATTTAAACCGAAATTATGTTTATTTGCAGGCATATGGAAGATGAGTGTTGGGTACAGAAATAAAAATGAACCCACAACATGGCATTTATTTTGCATTTAGATTTGCAAGCTCGAGTCTGCCTTGAATGCTGCTGTGAGGGGAGAAGGGAAATGACCAAATAATAAAGCCTAATAAAGGCTGGGTTTAATTGTCTGCCCTTTTCAGGAAGGGAGGGAGGAAGAGAAAGGCAAAATATGTGTTTAACGCAATCAAAATCTGCTGTATATCACAGTCCCTGTGCAACCCCCAATTTATTTGCTTTTTAGCACAGTTTTAGCCCCTTCTGAGCTACCTGTGCAGACCTTGTAAAAATCATACAAATACCTCAGTTCATTCAGTGCAAAATCAGGACTAAAGTGGAGGACTAAGGGGGTTCAGTGAGGGGACAGAGGTTGCAAAATCTCTTTTCCTTCAGATCTTTTCCTTGAAAGGCTGGAGGAGGTTGGTGTGTGCAAATTCATTTGGGTAACTAACCATGCAGCCCCTGCTATCCTTTATTTTTTATTTTTTTGTGCCTCATTTTTATGACTGAGGTTTTTATGCTGGTGTGAGAGATTTATTCATCCCTGTGTAATGAAACTTTGTACATTCCATATGGCAGTGCTGCACCTAACATGAATTATATGGGACATGAGTCATCCATTCTCCTGCTCCTGCACTCGGATCAAACGTGACACTTGTTAAAAGAAGTGTCCATTGCTGAGGCACTTGGACTGTTTGGATGCCAGCCTTCCCCACTCCTAATCCCCTAAAGAAAGGAGATAAAGCCCTTTTCCACCTTCACTTGGCCTGTCCCTCTTTTTGTGTGTCCTGTTGTTGTTTTGTTTTGGTAGGAGGGACAGCAGTGTGATAAAGGAGGAAATCAAAGCCTTCCTGGCCAACCGGAGAATCTCCCAAGCAGTTGTTGCACAGGTAACAGGTAAGAGCTCGGGGGGGGGGGATCCTTTCTGAATTTTGGGAAGCTGTGTCTAAACTACCTCTCAGAGCACGGTGCAGATGTTGGAATATCACTTGGCTTTCTGCATTGCAGTGCAGATCTGTCAGCTTAGTCATGATAATGTATGCCTTTGATTTAAGACCCATTGTCCTGCACATCATGGAACTTCCCCAGTGAATCACTTTTTCCTTTTTTTCCCCCATTTTTTTTTTTCCTGTGGCTTGTGCTTGGAGATTTTATTTTACAGCATTAAAATAAGCCCGAAGTTCTTATCTTAAAATGAAAACGGTTTTCCTTAATTCTTAAATTGTTTGTTGAGTGCAGCAAATAGATGCATATCTGCATCTCTGTGTATGGAGAGAGAGAGAGATAATATGCATTTATATTCTAAAAAGTATACGAATAGTCAGGAGATGCAGCTGTAACTGGTATCACTGCAGCCAGCAGTCGGATTATGAGAGTTGGAAGTTTTCTCCATCACTTAGTCACAGTTAAAATGAGATCTGAGTTTGAGGGGTGACCAGACCAGCGTTGATTTTACACAGGAGTAGTGTTTGTGCCCCCTGCCCTGAACCTTCTCTCTTTCACATGCAGGATGAGTGGACACACTGGAGTGATATCCCACCTTCCCTGGGTGTGTTCCCAGAGCTTTACACAAAGAGTGACAGAGTCCTGCTGCTCCTCCATGGGGTGGGATGTTATTAGTTCTCCTTTACAGGCTCACACTGCTTATCCAGAACACTGTGGCTGGAGGCATCTTCAGAATCAGTTTGGTTGGAAAAACCCTCCAAGACCATCAAGCCCAACCATACTCCCAGCACTGCCAAGGCCACCACATGTCCCCAATTGCCACATCCACACAGCTTTTAAATCCCTCCAGGGATGGGGACTCCACCACTGCCCTGGGCAGCTCCTTTTCCATGAAGGAATTGTTCCCAGTATCCAACCTAAACATGCCTTGGTGCAGCTTGGGGCTGTTTCTTCTTGTCCTGTCCCTTGTTCCCTGGGAGCAGAGCCCGACACCCCCCTGGCTCCCCCCTCCTGTCAGGGAATTGCAGAACCAGAAGGTCCCCCCTGAGCCTCCTTTTCTCCAGGCTGAGCCCCCCCAACTCCCTCAGCCACTCTTGCTGCTCCAGCCCCTTCCCCAGCTCCGTTCCCTTCCCTGGACATGCTCAAGCCCCTCAATGTCTGAGGAGGAAAACTTGATAAAATCCCAAAGCTCAATCCCATGTTACACCTCTAAGACTCAGTAATTTTTTAACCTAAGTTTGGATGAAGATCTTGAAATAGATATTTTTTAAGGCTCCTTGGTGACTGGAAATGCCAAATCAGCAGGAGGGAAGTTGTTCTCTTATATTTCCAGTATTTGAAATGTCATAAGAACCCATCTGTCTGGGAGTTCTGGATTTGCAGACAGTTGAGGTGGGCAGGCTGGAGCCACGGAGCCTGGAATTCCTTCCACGTCTCCAGCTCTTCTCTGTGATCTTGGGCAAAATTCCTTGTCCTTCCCTGCTTTCAATTTCATCTGGAAAATCATGAGATTAACATTTTGTGTAAATGTAAGGGATGTTTTCAGCCTTATCAGATGTTAGCACTAGTATTTCAATACTATAAGTCAAGTTGCTTAAATTGTACCTGAACTCAGAAATTTTGGTAGTTAGTGGGTCACTCTCCTGCTTTTGTGCATTCCCTGCCTGAGTATAGTCCTGGAATAACCCATCTCTGAATTAAGCTCTGTACAGCACCCTTCATGTCTACCAGCAAGTCAGACCATCTTCCCCTGCAGGAGGAGCAATGCACAGAGGAAAAAACTGCAGGAAAGGAGTCTTTCCAAAGCAAGCCAATATTTCTTCTGGTCAGTGGGGCCACTGAATCAGAATCACCACACCAAAACTAATGTATTGATGAAAGGAATGGATCTAATTATAATTAACTAGGTGGGCACATGTCTCTGATACCCCTGGGTCAGGCTGTAGGAAAGTCAAGCCCAGTCTCTTCACAGCTGGTGGTTTTTCTCCTCCCATCCTGAGCTGTCTCTCTTGGATTTCAGTTGGCATGAGGTTGGCATGTAGCCTTTGGGAGCTCAGATTGTTTCCTCCTGTGAATAAACGACTCCATCCACTTCAGACATGGCTGACTAAATTTCACACCCATTCCACTCAACTCAAGGGGAATCCAGGATGAACTCCCACAGTGATCAGAGAAATATTGGAAGATGTCACTGGAGAGAAGGAGGAGTGAACTAGTGGCACTGTTTTATTATCCTGTTGTCAGGCCAAATCAATGGGAAACCATGTCGATCTTTGCAGTTGATCTGTGTCATCCTCTGTGGGAGGGTCCCAGGAGCTGATTGATTACAAATATAACCCACAACCCTGTGTAAGCAGATGTGTAGTACTTGCATGCCACCATCAAGTATATAGTTATGGCTTATCTGAAAGAAATAGTGAATCTCAGAGATGTTTGAAAGGACCAGATTAAAGAGCGTGCTCAGCACTACCAGGGAGAAACATCAGCTTCCTCTCAAAAGCACAGAGTGGTGAGGAGGGACTAAAATAGCTCAGGACAGAGATCCAGAGCAGAGAGCACGTGTCCCAGGGCTCTCACTTCCAGAGTTTTTTAGGCATGATGGGTGCTGGTTGACTTGTGTGTTCTTCAGATGTCTCCAGCATCCAAGAGGCTCCTGAGGAATGCCTGGAAAACCGCTTTTGGTTCATTAAAATAACAGTTTGTACAGACAGAGGCAATGCTTTGCAGAATATATGATCCCAAATGGCATCATCTCAGTATTTACAGCCTTAGTCTTACTGGTAAAGGTGTTCTGTAAATAGTTACTTATACAAGAGGCAAATGAATAAATGAGCTTTTAGGCTTCAGCCCTTCTGCTCCAGGAAGAGGCAGGAAAGAAAAGAGAAGTGTATGGCTGGCTCTGAACTCTCTCAGGAAAGTTATTTGGCTTGGCTGCCCCTGCTGCCAACTTTGCCCTTTCCCTCTCCACCAATTCCTTTAGTACTCTAAAAAATTCCTTGTGTGTGTAATGGGAGAGGATCATGGCATGGGGAGGGGGAAGGCAATAACAGTGAATCTGAACAGTGATATTGGACCTTTAGCTTGGAGCCCAGACCTTGGCTGCCTTGTCTTAATTGTGGCTGGGTTTGAACCGGCCAGATTGGACGTACAAGTGATAAACTTGAGCTGAACCGATGTGTTTGGATGTCTTCAGGCTGCAGATTTCTGATCAGCTCCTCAGAGGCTGTGATGTTTCCCCAGTGCTTACGACCTTATTTATCCCCACTCTGTAACTTGCTGTGCTCTGCCCTTGGGGCAGAAACTTGCACTGCAACTTGGACCCCTCGAAACTTCCATTTTGCCTTATTTTGCTAATTCTTCGAGCTCCTCTTTCATTCAGAAATCTATTTCTCCTTTTTCTCATCTTAATTCTCCTATTGCAAAGCACTTAACAGAATCCACGTTCCTACCCCAGCCTCTGCATCAGTAAACAGCTTTTCCTTTTGTTTTTCCTGCTGTAGCACAGGGGAAGTGATGGAGAGGGAGGATACATGACAGAGGAACATGGAGCTGAAGGTTAAAGTCAGCTGTTGCAGTAGAACAATTTTTTAGGCTCTCTAAGTCCATATAAAATTACCAGAAACCTTAAAAATGATTTAGCTAATGAATCTGACGGGAAAAAATTAAACCTGGAAGACGTTCTATGGTGTACTGAGAGGGAAGGTTGGAAAATAGTAACAGAGTATTAAATGGTGACTTGAAAATAAAGGAATGATTGATAAGAAGCAAAACCTTAACATAACACTTATTAGTGCTGGTCCTAAAAACAGGAGCTGCTTTTTATAGAAACTTTTTTAATGGTGTCTGTAATAAGATAAACAAGAAGCACTTGGGTTGGGCTCTGTATAAATAATCTCCTACTGATAAGAAAAATGACAGTATAAACAGGAGCTAATAATAGTTCCTGCGGAATTTCCTATCTTGGATTTGGAGCTGCTTTTACCAGGAGCTGCAGCTTTGCTCAGGGTGGGGGTTCAGCCCCATGTGGGGCAGGTGAGGGGCCAAATTTTTATCAGCCATAATTTGAAGTCTTGTGCTGCAGTTTGCCTTAATTGCCACTGGGCATCAGTTGAGTTCTGGTCAGAAGGCAAAGGGTAAAAAGAGAAATGTAAACTTGCTAAGAGATGCTGCCCGAGCTTCCAAATGGGGCTGGGAAGTGGGGGAAATGTTTTCAGGAACTGTCTGTTCTGTGCTACAGTAAAGAAGAGAGGGAGGAGTATTCAGGGATGAGCCCTTTGCAGGTGGGAATAAATATTTTGATGGATGATGCCTCTGCAAGGTTTGGAAATACTACCTTTCCCATTTTTTACGCATAGGGAGTGAAGGAACACAAAAAATAAAAAAATCCTTATTTTCCTGAGGTTGCAGAGCAGAAATTTCAATTCAGATTTTTTAAAAAACCAAACCATTTAAAAAACCAAAACAAACCCCAAGAATAAAAACGCAGAGGCCATTCTTTGTTGTTTTTTTTAAATACACACAGAGCTTTGCAGGGTGCAGTTCTGCTCACCTTCCCAATTATTCTGCTGGTACAGCCCAGCCCTGTCCTACTGTCTCTGTCTTAACTGAGATGAGAACTCCAGGAGTTGGCTTTCCATTATGCTAAACACACACAGCATCCAGTGCAGTGGAGGGCAGCCTTGGAGCACTGCTGGAGCAAATAAAATCCCTAGAGGTTTGGAACCTACACACAGGGATGCTGAGCAAATGCAAATACAAAGGGAAACTTAACTAGTCCTGTTGTGTGAAGAGAATTCAGAAAGTTGCTGAGTTACTGATCATCTGAAATGGCATGCCACTGGATTTTGAAAAACATTTTCCTTCCTTCCTTCTTTTTTTAAACTCATGACAACACAGGGAAAGCTTTTTTTTCCCCCTGTGATTTTGATCTTTGCAGGTTTTCTGTAAACAAGCTTTGCTAATCTCCTTAAATTGATAGGTGTCCTTTGCAAGCACTTGTTCTGTGGATGTAGGACTTTGCTTACAAAGTGAAGAATTAAAACACAGTCAGTTACTTTCTTCTCCGGGTCTGACGTGTTCCAGGTGCTTCTAAAAACCTCTCCTGAAAGAAACATGAAAGAAATGCAAAGCAGAGCCGCGGAACAAATCTGTGAAGGTGAAAACCAGTTCCCAAAGACTCGCTGAGTAGCAGCGTTGAGGGTTATGAGGAGATTTGTACTGCAGATACCAGTTACCTCCTCTTGATGCTGTGCTTTGCCATTTCTTTTATGTATTTGAAAGGGAAACTCTTTCCCCAGGTAACTTGTGTAGCAGCCAGCAGGGCTGGCCAGAGGAGTGAACACGACCTGCCACCTCCGTGGGGTTTATTGTTAGGAAGCATAGCCTGCCACGGGAAGGAGTGATGTGTGACACAAGAAGTCAGCATTTAAATTGCAACAGCCCTTTGTGAACACCACTTTTCTTCAGTGTTTTCTGTGAGAAAACTATGTGTGCTCACAACCACGTGTTCGTGGCCCCGCTGTTGCTGGGCCCAGAGGATGACAGTCTTCCCCATTCAGTTTGGGAGTGAATTTCCTCAACACAGCTGGATTTTCAGTACTCCAGAGAAACTTATTTCATTAAGCTGCTTCTGGCAGCAGGAGGATTTCTTTTTCTCCTGCCAGTGCAATTTCCTAGAGAGGAATGATCACAGACAACGTGCCGGCGCGGTCCTGGTGGCAGTACCTGGCCCTGGCCCTGAGGCACTTGAGATGCAACAAACTCTGACGTGACAGTTTGGGGAGGGTTGTTTTTTTAATTGAAAAGAGTGAAGGATGGATTTGTATTAGGACACTGGGATATAGGAAATCCTGGATCTGCTACAGACTTCGCACGTGACCTTGATGAGTGAAGCTGTTGAAATGTGGTTTTTGGGCCTCTAAACCGAGCTGAGGTACAGATAAGTTTTATGCCTTAAGAACATTTTGCAGAAGCAGCTTTGTGAACTGTGAGGACTCGCAGTGAGTCGAAGGATCAGCTGCTGTGGCTAAATGACACCAGTTATTTTGCCACAGAAGGATTCCAGCAGAGGTACAGCTCTGTATTGGAGGACTTTGGTGCAGTTCAGTACCTTGTGACAGTGCAGAGTTGCTGGTAAGACAGATACAGGTTAAAAGATGGGGAAAGACATTGGAGCAAATCCAGAGAAGGGCCATGGAGATGATTAGAAGGATGGGGCACCTCTCCTGTGAGAACAGGCTGAAGGGATTGGGGTTGTTCAGCCTGGAGAAGAGAAGGCTCTGGGGAGATCTTATTGTGGCCTATAAGAAAGATGGGACAAACTTAGCAGGGCCTGTTATGACAAGGGCTAATGTTTTTAAACTGAAGGAAGATCAGTTTAGATTAGATAGAAGAAAGAAGCTTTTTACAATGAGAACAGCCAAACCCTGGCACAGGTTGCCCAGAAAGTTGGTGGATGCCCCATCCTTGGAAACGTTCAAGGTCAGGTTGGATGGGGCTCTGAACAACCTGACCTAGTTGATGATGTCCCTGCTCATTGCAGGGGGTGTTGGACTAGATGACCTTTAAAGGTCTTTTCCAACTCAAATTTTCTGTGATTCTACGAAAGTGGACATGGCAACACCCAGCTTGAGTCTTTTGGCTCCTTCCCCTTTGTGCTGTCCCAAGCACATGGTCTGGAGCAGTCACGTCTGTACCACGTTGTGACCGTGTCAGGCAGCCTTGTGAGGAGAATTCGGATTTTCCACTTGCCGAGGACATCTAATCTCTTATTTATAATTTTTATCTAACAGTGCTCTGTGTTTATGTCTTAGTTTGTTATCCAAGCACTCAGCACACACTAATTCACTGCAGTAAGTGTAAGTGGACCGTAGTAAACAAGTAAATGTGTGGTGCTGTTACCCAGTGATTGATGGGAGCTGGGCAGCCAAACCTTCGTGTCCCACAGCACTGTGTTCAAAAAATGGCTTTTATAAATCGTAAGAGTAGGTCAAGAGCTGCAAATTTTCGAAACTTGGTCCTTTCACCAGTGATCAAGCATCTAGCTGGCATGATTTCAACTAGGCTCTTGAAGCCTTGGTCTGGGCCAGAAGATATCACCAACTTGAATTGACTTCTTTTGGTATTAACTTGTAACTTCCACTGTTACTTGATGTAAACTTGGCAGGATCTAAGATTTCTGCTTGGTTGAATAATTCCACTTCCCTCGTAATATAAACTCAATTTTAGATCCCAGTGTGGGCCCTGGGGGTAGGCAACTCTTGGCTGCCCCAGCTGTTCCTGAGCTCTTTCAGTTGTGGGCAAGGCAGTCTCTGGGAATGGGTTTTAAGAAAATCAGGGTCTGTTTTGTGGGCACAGCCCTGGTGAATAGCAGTAAACTTCTGCCTCCGAAACAAAACATTCCTACCCCTTTTCCCCAGGATAATTAAAACTTCATAGCCTCCAGAATTCCGTTTAAGGAAGAACAATTAAGAGTATAAACCCCGTGATTTTAAAAATCTGGTTGGAGTAAACCCACCTGAATATGGTACCTGAGAGTCAAGTTGAGACATTCTGAACTTAACTGCCTTCGGTGTTCAACACAGAAAAAAAGCACAGTAAAACCCCCAGATTGGAAGCAGTAAAACTACAGGGGGTTGTTTTTCATGAGTTAAATATGATTATGAGATCTTACAAAACCTTGATGCATCTCAAGAGGGAACAGGGAGTTTGGTTTCTGTGTGAGAACCAGCCTCTACCTGCCTGGGCATTATCACCAAGCAGGTGGTGGCACAGGTGGTGTTGGCAGTATATTGTTACTTGGAGCACCTCCTAAAACTTCACTTCTCAGGAGAGTCGAGATGTTGTTAACCCTTCCTGGTGGCTGAAGAGCCTTGTGGAAAGCACAGGGAGTTGTTCTGCCTGAAGTTCTGCTGCAGTTATTCAGCAAACTGTATACATTTGTTGATGTTGCCAAGTGAACCTACAGTTCACCTCCTGGTGCACTTTTAAACCTCTTGTTTTGTTTAGTTTCCCTCCTAATCACTTTTTGCCCTTTCTGCATTGATCCTTCATTTGCTGTCAGGCTTTGGAAATAACTGTATTACCTTGTATGATTTTTTTCCCCCCTTTTTACTCTTAGAAATCTTGCTATAAAAACTGGAATATTTTGTCCCTAATCATGCCTGGATACCTGGAGCTTGACTCCTGCTTTGCTGGCAGACAGCTGCCCTTCCCCAGCTGCTGACAGTTGGTTTGCTCCATTTCTGGGCTGATTTGATCTGTATCACACAGACTGTTTCTGTGTTTATCTCCCTCATTCGAGCATCGAGTGATAACGATCTCTTAACTATCGTTATATATGTGTAACAGTGGGGAAGGGACTTGTTCCCATTTCACAGGGAAGTTGTGGACAATTCAAGTCACTGGTAGATTTGGCTTCCCACTTTTGCACCCTTTTTGCCTGTGGGTCCATTGGGCAGATTCCAGGATGTCCCTTGAGTAAGGATGAACAAAGGGAGAAGTTAAGGCAGTTTGGGGCAGGGCAGGGAGTCTTCAGCTCTGCTTTCCCTGGGATCCAAGCAAGCACTGCAGGTTCCTGGGCTTTGTGAGGCAACACCTTTCATCAGTATAAAAACCACCTAAAAATGTTTTATATGTAACAAGTTTTCTCTTTCTCCCTTTTTTGTGTTTTGTTGTGGTTTTTCCAGGGATCAGTCAGAGCCGGATCTCCCATTGGCTGTTGCAGCAGGGGTCGGACCTGAGTGAACAGAAGAAAAGGGCATTTTACAGATGGTACCAGCTTGAGAAGACAAATCCTGGTAAACAAATACAGCCTAAACATCTCCTGCTGTTTATTTATGGAATGGAAACCTTTTGTCACTGTTCTGTCACTGATAATTTACTCCTTGTCTGGGGTACTCCAGAGGTTCTTCCTCTGAATGGTGTAATTTTGAGAAGTAAAATCTTCATTTTACTTCTCAACAAATGATCCAGAGCTGACTCATCCAGCTCTGTCTCATCCATAGCTGTCTGTCCAGCTCCTCAGTCATGGATACTTGCCTTGCCCTCCCACCACTAACTAAATCTGGGAATCAGAAGCAGTCAATGGAGTTACAGTCAGTTAATTAATGAAATACCTGCTGAGGCTCTTCAGAATGAAAAATTAGAAAACATTAATAGTGGCTGTATAATACAGAGTTGCAGCAAAAAATCCACAGTTTGGCAGAGAGGATCTTTGGAATAGCTTCAGAGGGTTTTTTGTTGGATCTCCTGGATGGGATGTTGATAGTTCCAGTGATAAACTGGAGATGTGTCTTTCAAATCCCACCTGCCTCTCCAAATCTCAAAATAGATCTTGAATATAAAAGGAGAAGTAAAGCTCCTCATTATCTTTAACTAACCAGCAATCTTCAGCATCACAGTTGAATTAATTTCCTCACATTGTTCTTCTCCACAGATTTTGTTTGACCACAATTCTTTTTTTTTTCCCTTTAGCAGTTTTATTGTAAAGATCAAAATATTTACGTTTAATTTCCTTTAAACAATGGCGTGATTAAATTAACTGTGTAATTGTTTTAAGGAATTCAAAACTCAGGCTCTCTAATGCGAGCTTGGCTTCAATACCCAGAACTCTATTAAGAAAAATTCCAGTGAAAACAAGAGTCTCAAAACCCCTGCTTTGTGTGTGAGCTGAAAATCAAGAGGCTCCGGCTGCCAATTGGCCTGGGACTGCCTCAGATTTAAGTTGGGTGGGTTCAAAGTGACAGCTGAGCCTGTTTCTTCTGTTAAGCGTCTAGAAATTTGTTTTAAAGAATGAAAGTGCCAAGGAGCCTTGGTTTTTGCACTGGCTGGAATTGGGACCCTCGGGATCAGCAAAGTTCCTGGGTACAACCATCCAGTATCAGCTCCGTGGAGAGGCTGCCCTGCAAAGTGACTCCCAGACATTTCCCTTTGATGGAAGGTGTTGCCTCCAAAGTAGTGGAGAAACTTAAAGGGTTTTGGAAAGTGTATTTTGGGGAAAAAAACCCACAAAAATCTGCTCCAGATGAAACCTGTTGTGTGGATCTTTCCTATCACTTTGCATCTTTTCTTGCCAGTGTCACATGTGATTTCTGTTTAAGAAATCACATTCTGTGCTGGGATAAGAGAAATCTTGTCCAATTCAGCACTAAAATCTTTATTTCTTAACCTTCTTTCTTTCCCCATATCCACGAGCTCACATCTCCTTTGTCCTTTTGCTCTTGAGAAGTGTCTTAGGAAGGAAGACTTCCAACACTGAAGGATGTGGCTTAAATTGAAATGAGTCCACGTGAACCTCTGCTTTTCTTTATGCACACATGGAAAACCTCCTGGAGGAGGGGTTGTTTGAGTGTAACCTTTCTCCCAATAAGAAATCTTAAACAGCATTTTCAAGAAGTGTAAAAGGCAAATTGTTTCCTCTGCCTAAGCAAAGGGACTATTTGGATGCACTTAAATTCCTTTTAGAACCAAATAACATTTGGTTTCTTTTAAGGCACTGAGGTAAAGGGAGGAACCTTCAGCTTTCCTGCAGCTGTGGGGAAAGTCTGCTTGAGGAAAATGGGGTTGTATTTATTTATTTATTGTAGGATCACCCACTGCTTTGAATTACTGCCATCTACTATATTGCAGGTCAGAGCAGGTAGCCAGGAGATAATTAACAGGTGTCTTCTGGAAGGTACCAACCTTGTTCAAAGAATCCTGGATTTAAATCACTGTTACAAAACCAATTTAGAGCCGAAGTTTTGGATCCTCCTTGGAGTATCCTGTGATCAGTAGACAAACCACTACATTCTGCTGCCTCCTCTAAAGCCAGAAAATGAGGAAATCAGTGGAACTTCCTGCCACGTTCCCAAAGAAGCGACGCCATCACTGCACTCTCTGTAGAGTGTGAAAGATTGTCGTCCTTGGAGGAAACTTGAGAGATTAAATGACTGGCATGTGCTTTTTTCTGTTTGCTTGCTTGCTGCGAAGTGGCATTTGGCTTTCTGTTCTCAGAATTCCCAACTTTTCCAATTCCAGCTGCTGGGGACAAAACCTCAGCCCTTTGAGTGACAGAGTCAGGTCTCTGTGGAGAACACCTGCATTTTTGAGTTACCAGTGGGCACAGTGAGGTCTTTGGGAACTAATTAGTTTCCCAATTCCTTTAATTCCTTATCTTGCAAAGCTCAGAGTAAGTCCAGACTGAATTTGTGTGATGGAAAAAAACCTTTCACTTAAAATTGAACCAGTTTTGAAGGACTAGGACAGCAGATAAAATCAATTTATAAACTGGGAAGGAGGAATAGTTGTTTTGTGTGGTAAGGACTGGCGATCTCTTGGCAGGCCTGCAGCCTTCCCTTGGCTCTGCCAGTTTTTCTGTACAATTTGTAGAATTCACCTTTCACTTTCCCATCTCCTCAACAAAGGTGAGCCCCATTCCCTGAGTGTGACACCCCTGCTTTGCCTCACAGCAGGGCCTGTCTTTTACTGTGCTTATATAAGCAAAAGATAAATTATAAATATATAAAAAGAGATTTTATTTTAGTTTTTTTTTTCAAATGTAGAATGGTGCTATGTAATGCTTTAAATCATCCACAAGCTTTCCTGCATCTGCCAACCAAAGAATTTCATGTTGGGGAGCCTTAAGGCAGTTTCAGGACACTGCTGCTGTTCAGATGTTGCTCCTTTGTGGAAGAGACTCAGCAATTCCATCACTTCCATTCTTTTCCAGCTTTCTCTGACCTCTTGAATGTGCTGTTTGTTCCTTGCTTGGGTTTGACTGCTGGTTTGCATGGGCAGTTTCTGTATTTCTCCTGTCTCTGGTGGTGGGTGTTCAGACAGCAGCAGGCTGGAACGTTGCAAGAGAGACTGAAATCTCATGGACCAGGGGAAAAAAACCCACCCACTTATCCTACTGTTTGCAATAATCTTGCTCAAAAATGTCTTAACCAACGTTTTCCTGGTAGGAGTGATGTCGGAGTTAATGGCAATGCTGCGAATTCCAGTGTTCTACTGGTTGTAAGTTTTTCTGGGAGGAGTTGCCATTTAGGGTGAAAGGCTTTTTTTTGTTGAAGGGGAGAAGTCAGTGCTAAATGCAAGTATTTGAAAGGTCTTTAATCCAATTAATAGGGATGCTTTTCATTTAGATGGCGCTTTTTTCAGACAGGCACCACTTGTCCTGTGGTTTGTGGAGGACTGAGAGCATTTTGGCAGTAGATAAATAGTATATATTTCAGAAGCCAGTATATGAGTGCAGAGAGTCCTGCAACGTTCTGACTGATTTTTTTTCAGAGCCCATGGGTTTTAAATAAATAAATATTTCTTTTTAGATTGGTAGTTGTTACCCTGATTAGTTTGCCTGACACTGGGTCTTGGACAATGTGGAAAGTTTGTTATGGAGTAACTTTAACTTGTCTCTTGCCTCTTGTAGTGCAAAGTGAAGCTGGCACCCAGAAATGATGTGTTAAACTTACAGATGGGTACAGACTGCTTCCATTTAGGCTGGGTATTTATTTCTGCCAGTCTTCTGTAATAGGAAGGCAGCTGTGGTCACCTTGAAGAGAACCCTCTGCTCTTGCTCCTTGAACAAAAGGGAAAAAGAGAGGTAGTTATTGTCAAGATGTAGCATCTCTTGTGTTATTCCCACAGCAGTTCTTGTTGAGCTCTACAAAGAAAAGCCTACCCAAAATGGATTGTTGGTGATGTGCTATTTCCCAGAGCAAACAGTCCCTGCTCTGATCCTTTTCATCCAGGGCAGGAGCTCTGGAGGGAACCTTTTGCTGTGCTGCTGCTGATCCAAATCTGCCCTGGCTCGGGAGGAACTGAGAGGTGTTTATTGTGTGATCTGGGGTCAGCCTGGCTAAAAATACAGTGAGACATCTGTTCTTATCAGTGCAGTGGAAGAGAGGTACTTGCTGCAAAGGCTTGCCAGGAAATGGTTCCTTGGAGCTGGGAGATGCCTGAGGCTCCGAGTTACCATCCTGTGCCTCCCCTGTGGCAGGGCCTCTGTGGGGCACGTGATGGGGATCAGCAACTGCATGTGATGCTCTTACAGCAACTCCCTTTCTTCAGGATGGTGTCTGGGATGTGCCAAGAGGAGGCAGCCCTTCTCCATGAGGAATTCTAAATATAGAGAGAGCTGCATTCCAGTGGGGAAGCACCAATCTTGCCTCCTCTCCCCAAAAACCCACCTGTAGGATCCTCGAAGTCATTCTTTGCGTTTGAGGGAATTCAGGTTTGCACAGAGAAAACCCAGCACTGCAGGAAAAGGTGCTCAGCACTGGCAGGGAGTGAGAGATGCCACTTTTGCTTTCCCTCTGTGAAGGCAGTTCTTCCCAGACAGTTCACCTCTACACCCCTGAGAGATGTCTGGCTGTTTGATGCATATACTGAGATGAAAATCTCATGCTGCATTTTCTCCACTCTTGTCTGCTCAGGAGAGAAGTTTCACTTCTTCTTCTTGAAAGCTGTTTGAGGGGTTTATAAAAAGATTCTGAACTGGTGACTGGGATGTAACTTAGTAAGTTATAAAGAAGTGGAGCTGGGTGGTGAGAAGGTTGGGATGAAGCTTTGGAACAGCAGAATAAATAGGATCCCCAAGTGCTCATTGAATTTGAGGGGGGATGAGGAAAAGCTCCAGAGTTACCCTACCAAATGTGGCAGCAGTGCATGTCAGGAATCCTAAATGGTTTGGGTTCAAGATCACCTTGTTCCACCCCTGCCATGGGCAGGGACACCTCCCACTGTCCCAGGTTGCTCCAAGCCCCATCCAGTCTGGCCTTGGACACTTCCAGGGATCCAGAGGCAGCCACAGCTTCTCTGGGAATTCTATTTCAGTTCCTCACCACCCTTACAGGGAAGAATTCCTTCCCAATATCCCATCTCTCCCTGCCCTCTGGCAGTGGGAAGCCATTCCCCCTTGTCCTGTCCCTCCTGTCCCTTGTCCCAAATCCATCTCCAGCTCTCCTGGAGCCCCTTTAGGCTCTGGAAGGTGCTGGAAGGTCTCCTGGGATCCTTCTCTTCTCCAGTTGAACCCCCCCAGCTCTCCCAGCCTGCATCCAGGGCACAGGGGCTCCAGCCCTTGGTGCATCCCCTGTCCACTCTTTCCACACATACATCCAAGCCCATTTTGGGTCTCTTTATGCATTCAGATCCTTCCCTCTCTGTTTGTGGTACTTGCTTGTAATTCTCAGCATATTTCTCTCTTATCTGCTGCTGATATTGATGTTACCCCATAGAAAAGAGAAATAGGTAAATTGATCCAGCAGGGCTACTAAAACAAAAAAAGTATGTTATATTCAGTATGTGAACGTATCAGTAGCAGCAGCAGCAGCAAATTTATGCATTCAATGCAGATTTTTTTCAGCCTCTGTCTGAAAAATCTCAGAAAAATTTCATGGAAGGACTTCCCTTGATGTTGGTCATCACTGATTTTCCTATACTCTCCCTGTGAAATTAAACCTTCAGGTAGGGAAAATGTATTGCTAAGACAATGCAGGGAAAGTGAATTTCTTTTCCTGTTCTTCCCTGTCTCTTTTTTATTTTTTTTTTTTAAGGAGGGATGTTTTGTGGGTTTTTGTTTGTTTTTCAATTTTTGAAGTGTATTTAAAGCTTGGCAACTTGACACCCACCCAGCCCCCTAAAGTGTGCAAGTACTAGAAAAACCAGATAAGGAGCTTTCCTTGAAATGGCCTCCCAGTAAAATTGGCACTATAGGAAATATTTCATGTTTCAATAAAACCCAAGTAATCTGTGTGGGCTCGTTAGCTGGGAATTAGTGAGAGGCACCGTGTGTTGTGTGTGCAAGGCAGAGATTGTGGGGCTTCACTTCCTACAGGCTCCTCCTGGGTAACATTTGTAAATTGTTTGGAGCTCCACTACCTGCCACAGATGCAGTGAGGAAAACACTCCGTGTGCATTTCTGGGAGGGAGCACAGCCAAGTGCCTAAATAGCTCATTTCTTGCTTTTTAGCTGCAGGAATTTGTTTATTGGTTAAACTCTTAAGTTCCCTTGACCCTTTTACCCTGCTGTGTATTAGAGGAGCAGTGTTGTTTCACTACCACAGTCTGTTTGGATGATTAAATCCCAACCCAGAGGGGTTTGCTGTCTGTGTGTGCACAATTCTGTGAGCAGAGCTGCTCCTCCTGGATCTGCCCGGTGCAGGAATTCCGGTGGAGCTCAGAATGCTTGTGGGATAGAGGTGGTGATTTATCTTTTCATACACCTTTTTTTTTTTTTTCTTCTTTCTGTTTTGCACACAAGAGCAGCTCTTCCCTCCCTGTGGGGGAAGTCACTGAGCACAAAGCTGTCCTTCAGAACATGCCCTGCTTTCCGTCCTCGTGTCCTGTCCCAGGTTCCCCGTCCTCACCCGGGGATGTATGAAAGATCGATCTCCCAGTGTGTGCCTTGATTTATCTTGATTTATTAACTGAGAGGCTCCTGTGGAAAGAATCAGGGGTGAGTTTCAAAGGGGCCTTTCCTGAAGGCATCTTGCCAAGTCCCGTCTCGTGCTTGATACTTTCCAGCTCAGAGCTATTGAAAGGAGAAATACATCCACAGAAGGGGGGCAGAAGAGGAAAGTTGTGGTGTTAATCTGCTTTCAGTGACTTTTCCAGGCCCCCTGGCACCCGTGAGCCCATGTTTGCACAGGCCACAGGTTGTGCTTCTGTTGGTGGAGCTGCTTCAGGTGTTCACTCAGCTCTTTGGACACGCTGAAATACCGTTGGTATCAATTTTCCATTTTGTTTCCTGACACTGCCGTAAAATTAAACAGAACTTGCTGTTTCCCGTTTTGTGACAGACCAGGTGGCAGCACAGCCTAAATAAATCCCAGCTGGGGCACAGCTCACCCTTTCTTTACAACCCCTTTCCTCTTGATGAAGACAGGACAGCTCTTCCTAAGTGCCTGTCAGCTCAGTTGTGTCTCCTTGGACTTCCATGGTCACCTGGTACCTCTCTGGCTTGGAGGTTGGGGATGGCAACTCTTAGTGTATCTTTAAGGTGTCTCTGTTGGACAATGCTTTACTTTTTTAGCGTGAATGGTTTCACCATCTGTCCTGTCTTTTTTCCCCACGAACAGGAATGAGAGGATGGGCACGACTTTTAACCCTCTGAAACCCACAATATTTGTTATTCTTAGGGGCCACACTAAGCATGAGACCAGCTCCTATCCCAGTAGAAGAGCCAGAATGGAGACAGACGCCTCCCCCAGTCACAGCTACCTCTGGGACCTTCAGACTACGGCGAGGCAGTCGGTTCACGTGGAGAAAGGAGTGCCTGGCAGTCATGGAAAGGTAGGTCACTCTGGGGCTTTGGAGGTGGGTGTTTTAAACCCAACTCAGGTGTCCTTTTGCCTGCTCTGGTGAACAGCAGCACTGTTTTCCTGGCTGTGTTTTAACATTATGCAAGCCTGTAATTGGTTCTAGAGAGTAGGAGGAGCTGTTTTACCTCTTGAGTTGTTTAAAAAAATGTAGCACTGCTCTGGACAATCTCTCTTTTTTTTTTTTGTAGCCCCCAGGACATCATGTCTTTAGTTCAGTATTGGTGTTCAGCTCTCCCTTTGCTTTTGCAGAAACCTTTCCACTTAGCCTAATCCAGACTCCCTCTTGGTGAGGGTCTGCACTCTCTTTACACTCTGCATTTCTCCTTTCCCACTTTCCTCATTTCCCCTCGTGGTGTATCCAGGTATTTTATAGTTGGTACTGGCATTTCGACAGCGCTGTGATTGCTCAGGATGCAGAACTTTGCCTAACAAGCCGTAGATTCCTTGTCCAAAAAGGCTCTTACAACCCTTTTGTATGAGCTGGGAGCAGCACAGAGCAAAGTGGATCTTTCAAACACATCTGCAGAGTGGGAGGTGATCATTAGAGCTCCCAGCCCTCCAGTCCTGCAGAGACAGAGCACTCTGAGCCTGGGTGTGCTTTGCTTTTCCCTCTGCTCACAGTAATGTCTCTTTTGTGGATGATGTTGTATAACAGGAAAGGGCCAGTGAACTCAGATGTAGTTTAGGGATGAATGCTTGTTTCTGTTCGGGGCTAAATGGCTGGGAAGAGTTTTCTCCCCTCTGAGGGCAGGAGGAGCTTCCTTTCCATGGAAGCACCACGTGTGTGCTGCACTCCTCTGGTTTGCAATTCCAGCGAGACCTCGGCCAGCAGATCTGTGGGATGTGCTTTTACCATTTCTGTAATGCTCCTCTTCCCTCCTGCTTGCACGAGGGCCTGGGGAACTGATTAGGAGCAGGAGCTGAGGCTGAGCTAAGACTGAAATCCTGAGCTCCCTCGGGAACACAGGATAGACACACTTCTGTGTGGGCACAGGCCATCACAGGGGCTTTGCAGGACTGGAACCAGTAATTAAGTGTTTGTTTCCCTGTTCTGGCCTGGCACTGCATTGATGTTTTCAGCTTAGGCTGGATGTTTCCCCAAAGGAAATATTTGAAATCTGTTCTGCTTTGCTGGACTAAGCTAATGCGAAGTCCTGGGATCTGATTGTACAGGACTGTGTTTTTCTGGTGTCCCCCTCCACAGAGGCAGTACAGGATCTTTAGCACTTTAAAATGTTTGTATGGCTCTCCTGATGTGTAAAATGACAAACCACCACAGCTCTGTGTGCCTTCAGGACAGCAGCATCTCCTGATAAACCCTCTGTGTGTGAAATAGTTACGCTTGACGTAGAATTAGAGCTCTTTGGACGTGGCTGTTTTCATTTTTTGGTTCCTATCTGGCCTGAAGTGCAATAACTGCTGTGATTTGCTGTTTGAATCCTGTTTGTGCCTCAGACACCTCTGTGGGGAAACACAGAGCAGAGGAAGAGCTGAGCAAACCAGCACTACCCTTTCCTCCTCCACACCTCTCCTCAAGCCTGTCTCTGCTGAGACACTCTCAGAGAACCTGTGGTGGTTTGATGTGCCTGTTAGAAAGGTGTGAGATTTGGGTTTGGTTATGGAAAGAAGCAAATCAGTGCTGAGTTTGAAATCACCCAGTCCTGAATGCAGATACGTAATCGCTCAATCTTAATTTTTCATTAACTTCTTTTCTTCTTTGTCGTTCTTGGTTTTGTTCTCTGTGTCTTGTGCTCTGTAAGGTCTTTGCTGCAGGGGTTTTCTTCTTATTCTGCTGCTGCCACATCGCCCTAATCCTGGCTTTAATGTTAATTTACCAAGCCCTTGGTAGGTCACCGTGAGCGCTGAGTTTCCCAGCCTTGTCTGGGGTACTGGAAATCAGGGCTGAGGAGTTTCATTCAAGGCAGGACCACAGTAAAAGTGTTGTATGGCAATAAAACTACACCATAAAGCAAGCTGGGAATATGGTTGTTAAACTGTTGTGCTTTAGTAGGCCTAGTGAGCTGGAGGGATGAGCTGTTTTATGTGACAGGTTCTGAAAGAGTGGGAGAAAAATGCTCTTCTGGGAGCCCCAGGAAGAAAGGAACTAATTTCACTTACAAGTCACTGGAGTCTTCCAGGCTTGTCCATAATGTGGCTCATAACAGCAGCAGGATGGAGGTAACCAGATTCCTGGCTGTCTGGCCCAAGAGGTTGGATTTCCTCCATGCCACAGGGTCAGGAATAAGCATTTGGCCACTAAAATGGTGGTTGGCATTGCCTGTGGGCTGGTGCTGTTTGTTGGGTAATTTGCATTTTCCTCCCAAGGATTAAATTTTGACTGTGAATGGAGGCATCTCACTTTAAGGGGCTGTTTTCCTCCAGGAAGTGCAAGTTCCACTGCATTGTGTTTGTATGTCCTGCTGCTTTGGGAACCTCAGCTGATAACTGTCCAGCAAGGAGGAACAGAGATGCAGGAGACAAATCCATCCAACTCATATGAGGGTTGTAGGCACCTCCCTCTCTAATTGCCTTCTGCACTTAGAACTGGCTTTGGTCATTTAGCTTAAAGCCTGAAGATAAGAGGGTTGAATCTAAACCTTACTGGAAACTCTTGTGTAGGTAATGCAGAACTTCTTCCTTCTGGATGTTACTGGAATGCTGCATAAACAATTTTTGGGTGAGGGTGGGGGTGTTGACCTGCTCTGTCGGTTAATTTTGTGCTTTTGAGTTGTATTCAGTTGGTGAGAACTGCCATCACTAAAAGTCGATGTGTCAAACCAGCTGAGAGCACTTCAGGGGGAGGACCTGAATTTGATTGCAAAAATTAGAGGGATTTGCTTCCTGGAGCACTGAAAATGCACAGCACCAGTCAGGATTTGGCCCATGAGCTGAATGAGAAGGGTGAGGGTTGAAGGGCTCGTTTCTCTTTTTTTTTTTTTTAAATATTGAAATCAACAGAAATTCCAGTGCAATTAATTATTATATTGGTGCCAACCTGATAGGATTAAGATCAGAGTTAGGGCCATACACTTAGATGTCTGATGTACCTAAGTGTCTGTGTACAGGATATGTGTATTAAAGAAACTAATTGGTTTATACTGGATTTCCAGAATGCTGCTTGTGGTTTGTGTAATTCAATTCTCCAGTCTTCCCTGCTTTTTTGGAATCCTCCCAGAGTAGTTTATTAGTCTCTGGGCTTAGATTTCGGACAATGGATTCGGGTCTCTTTTCTCCCTTTACTTATTTATTATTTTTTTTCTAAACACATCTCTCAATATTTATGCTGTGAAGGTTAAGAGGAGCAGTAGTTCCAGAAAGTAAAGCTCTATATTTAACTGCAGACTAGGTGTGGTTCAGACAACTGCAGTGCAAAGCTCCTTCTCTCTGCTGTGCTACTGATACCAGCCTTGACCTGTTCCCTCCTGGAGCCTCCTGCCCGTGGAATATGCTGAGTTTTGAGTGTGTCGGTGTTGTCGTGTGGCTCTGCCCTCCTTTGGGAACAGAGCTAAGACTGCAAGAGTCCTTTCTGTGCAAACCTCAGGTTAAACTTGAAAGCCTGTTTCTGCTTCACTTTCCTGTTCTTTTTCTGTTACTTCTTGTCCCACAGATAATTTTTATTTCTCTTCTCTCTGCTTTACCTCTTCTTTTCAACCCCTCTCGTTAGAACCACAAAATAGAAAATTCCCTCAGGGTTTTCTCCTTTTTTTTTTTTTTTAACAAAGCTGTGTTGTCTTGTCGTTTTATTTTCTTTATTATTATTTTTTTCCCCAAGTGATTCGTGCTTCTCCTCTAATCATGTGTTGGAGTTGAGGTTTATCTTCTTTTTCAGGCAAACAGAATAACTAAGATTGGCAGCAGAATCAGTGACTTTATACCCGTTTTAAGGCACTTTTGTCGAGTGCCATTAAAGACTGGAGGGGGGGTTGAGTGTTGTTTTTTAAGTTTACACTTTATCCAAAGATTAAATTAAAAAACCTGTAAATTCTGCCCTAAACAAAAATGAATAATTCATCAGTTGAACGTATTTCAGTTTGTCTGGGGAGCAGAGACTTTGCTTTCTGGTTGAGGGTTATTTGGTTTGATTTTATGGGTCTGATTTTTTTTATTTTAACACTTGTCTGTGCTTGTGAAACTCCTTTTGTAGAGGCTATATTTAGTTTAAATAAGACTAAGATGATATAGATACCCATTATCCCCATTTCATAGGTGGCAAAACAGAGTCAGGTGTTTCACTTGGCTTTATTCCCGAGAGAAATGGGTTTAGATTTCTCAAGATAGGAGGGTATAGTTTCATGCTATAGCTGAGCTGAATTAACAGTTTGTCACCAGCTCATCCTTAGGTGTTATCCTGCCTCACCACCCTTCTCAATTCCCCCTCCTCCTCAGTTTCCCTGCTCCTGCCACCCTGCACTGTGCCAGATATGTTCCTTGTCTGATGGAAATAGCAGCCAGTTCAGCTCAGTTCAGGGAAAATAAATCCTTTTTGTTCCCCCCCCCCTGCATTTTCCTGAATTGGTTCATCTTGCTGTGCAGGGAGGGGGTGCCAGAGCTGTCCCAGGGCAGAGGACAGGGATGCACAGCTGGGAGCACAAGGAAGGGGAAGTTTAACAAAAGGTGGATGGATTATCCATGGTGGTTTTTTGATCTGCTTGGTTTTGTTCTGGTTTTGTTTGGTTTGAGTTGGGTGAGTTCCTGGTTTCATTAAAAGCGTGGCCATACTGGCAGTTGTGCTGGCATCATGGAAGAGGGGTCTTTTGATTTTTCCAAGGAGCAGGAATGGATTAGTTCCATAAGGATTAGAGAGATGGAGAGATGGAGCACTTGTGCTGTGAGGAAAGGCTGGGAGAGATGGGGGTGTTCACCTGGAGAAGAGAAGGCTCAAGGGAGACCTGAGAGCCCCTTCCAGTACCTAAAGGGGCTCCAGGAGACCTGGAGATGGACTTGGGACAAGGGGCAGGAGGTACAGGACAC